ATACTAAATCGGGAAACATACCACACCGTTTCCTATTTCCTGCTGTAATAATTGCTCCTGGGGAGGCCAGATGTAACCATCGCTGGCGAAGCTGACTCCCATCTGTTGCGACGGCTGCCACGTCAGGAAGATGTTACCATTTTCGGGACGGTCAAGGTAGGTCCAGAAAAAGGGCGCGGTATCACGCGCAATCTTAGGGGCATGCATAAGCCAGTTGGTTACTTCGGAGGGTTCAACTCTAGCCTTGAGAGTGTATCGGTACGTGGAAATGAGATGCACATGCGGAAGCTAAGGACATGTGTGTTAGCAAGCAATCGCAGCGATGATGCGCCGTAACGGGCGGGCGTGTAGCATACCAGGTCTCTATGGACCCCATAACTGGGGTCGCCCATTGATGCCATTGTCGTTGGGGAAAACAAATTTCACCGTCGCACTCAATTTAATAATATCAAAACGATTATTAGTACCTCCCTTAGTTTTCCGAAACGAAGTTTGCGTTGTGATAGGATGGGTAGAGCGAGAGGCGCAACGGCGATTGTTGGTAATGAGGCTGCGCGAAAGTTTCGATTCGATGGTCGCGAAGATTGATGCGCGACGACAGAGCTTGACCTTTCCTTAGCGGGAATTTGTTAAGAGTCCGCCCGATAGTAAAGATGTGGCTGGTGTCCTAAAGCTTTGACCAATAGTCTTACATGATATCACGTGTACAAACCTTGATATCAATATGTGGCACCGGACACTGTACATCAATACAGACGGAACTTGGAATACCTAATACCAGTTGGGTTACCCAACCCGGCTCGAGGTTTCGATGGTGATGATTGATTTGCACGTCCTTACAAATAGGTACCTGGTACTTATTTATGAAAAGCTCGCCTACATACCAGATTATTCACCGCCGAATCAATTTAGTTAACAGAAACTGACGGGACAGCACGACTAAGTTCAAGACGACAATGTATCTAATGTTTGTCGTCTAAGGGGTAGGCTGAAGTTAGCATTGCTATTATTTCACATATTTATTTTCATTCTTCTAAACCAGGTGGCCATATGTCATGTCATAGCATGCTATATCGAAGCATCCGTTTTCCATCTATTGGGAATGCCCCTGCCCCCTATACCAATCTTACCATAGCCATGGTAAAGTGTGCTTATATTATTCACGTAAACACTTTCCCCTCTTATGCCTGGTACGTGGAGGCCGACACGTTTCCTCCCCGACCGGTCCAGTTTACGTGGTGCCACTTGCCCTCAGGGTATTTAGCGTTGGCGTACTCGGGCTTGATCAGGAACGTGTGCGCTCCGAAGTAATCACGCTGGGCTTGAAGGAGGTTGGCAGGCAGATCTTGTGTGCGGTATCCGTCGAACCATGACAGGGCGGTGGAGAAGGCAGGTGTCGGGATGCCGAGCATGGCAGCCTTGGCAACGACGTCTCTCCAGCCGGGCTGCGCCTTGTGGATGGCCTTGTTGAAGAAGTCGTCGAACAGCAAGTTCTCGAGATCGGGGTTGTTTCGGTAAGCGGCAGTGATGTCCTTCAGGAAGACGGAGCGGATGATGCAACCACCTCGCCACATCAGTGCGATCGAAGGCTTGTTTAGCTTCCACTTGAATTCTCGGGCAGCCTAATAACGTGATTAGAAATCAGCCTAGAGGGATAAGGTGAGGGATCAACAAACCTCTTGCATCAGCATAAAACCTTGGGCATACGAGATGATCTTGGAGGCGTATAGGGCCTGCTCGAGGTCATCAAGGAACTGCTCCTTGCTGCCCTCGAAGCTGCTTGAGCGACCGACGTACTCGAGCTTCTTGGAGGCCTTAGTTCGCTCCGACTTGATCGAAGATAAGCAACGAGCAAGCACGGCCTCGGCGATCAGAGTGACAGGCATTCCGAGGTCCAAAGCGTTGATGGCGGTCCACTTGCCAGTTCCCTTCTGACCAGCTTGGTCCAGGATCTTCTCGACCAGAGGGGTTCCATCGTCGTCGTTGTAGTACATGATGTCGCGGGTGATCTCAATCAAGAAGGAGTCTAGAACGCCCTTGTTCCACTTCGCGAAGACGTCTCCCATCTCCTTGTTGGACAAGCCAAGACCACGCTTCATTATGTCGTAGGCCTAACGGAATTAGCTCGGATCAATTATCGGCGGCGCCGGAGTTATGCCAGCCGAAGGGAAAAGAGGGCGTACCTCGCAGATAAGCTGCATGTCACCATACTCGATACCGTTGTGCACCATCTTGACGTAGTGGCCAGCACCCTCGTCACCAACCCACTCACAGCAAGGCTCGTTATCGCTCTTGGCAGCGATGCTCTGGAAGATATCCTTAATGTAGGGCCATGCCTCCTCGTTACCACCGGGCATCAGAGAGGGGCCGTATCGGGCACCCTCCTCACCGCCGGAAACGCCGGAACCGACGAATCGGATACCCTTGGTCTGGAGGTACTGGGTTCGTCGGTTCGAGTCGGGGAAGTGAGAGTTACCACCGTCGATAATGACGTCTCCCTTCTCAAGGAGGGGGAGGAGGGTCTCGATCCAGTCGTCGACGGCCTTACCAGCTTGTACTAGGAGCATGACACGGCGAGGCTTCTTTAGCTTGGAGACGAATTCCTCGGTGGAGTGAGCACCAACGACCGACTTGCCCTTGGCCTCGTTGGCCAAGAAGACGTCGACCTTCGAGACGGTTCGGTTGAAGGCGCAGATGGTGAAGCCGTGGTCGGCCATGTTCAGAATCAAGTTCTGACCCCTATGAGAAATGAATATTTTCGAATATATCGAGAGAATGGGAATTTTGGAGTGGAACTTACATGACGGCCAAGCCAATAAGGCCCAAATCAGCGCTTTCGGATTCGTTAGCATGACTTCAACGGAGAGGATCATGGCAAGCTCGAGAGAGAATTATGTGAAGAAAAGAAGCTCGCCTTGGACCTCCTAGGGAGCTGGTTATGTTGGCAAGACGAGCCCTAGAGGGCCCCAGAGACCATTTCAGCTATGTGGGTTGAGAAGGCATTTTGGGGAGCATTGGGAAGACAGGAATAGGGAACACAGGAGTCGGCGGGGTGACGAGTAACGGCGGGGTAATCATCGTCATCCAACCGAGAGAATGAGAAGGATATTCATTGACTTACACGGCACCAGACATGATTGCGGTATGTTGGTAGCTCAATCGTACAGGAGAGAATGTATTTTCTAGATATTAGACAGAAGCCAAATGGTATAGAAAGAATCAACGCAAGCTGCGGAAGAGCGCGGGGAGTGCGGTTACTTTTCTATGATGGAGTTAAGATGTTAGGTTGTTGAAAAAGTGGATGATGGAGGGGTAACCCAAGGAAAAAAAGGGTAGGAGGGGACATTTGTTATTGCGATACATCTGATATGTACATTCCGCTCCAATCCTTCTCCAGCAACAATTGATTACCTCCCCCGTACCTACTGTACCTCCTCAACCAACCAGATTCAACGTTCGTTACTTATTAGGTTAGTCCACGTTGAAAAGGACGGGAAAGCACTTGCATCCCATCAATCAAAGAATGACCGGGAGGCACGGGCTTACTCAGGTCTCTCTCTTTTTATTATCCGTTAACGCCTCGATTCGTACCTTTGCTATCTACATAGGGATTTCCTTGCCTACTAGTAGGTACCTATCACCAAATCGTGCGTGGATTGCCTTTAACAGTTACACACTCACAAACTAGTATCTATGTAGTACTCAGGTGCTACACAACTCGGTGTTAATGCGCCTCGAGCATCAACATACATCTTGGAATAGAGTCAATGGTAGAAAAACACGCCACTTCGTGCTTCTCTAACTTAGGGACATGCCTCATATCCGTCTTGGTTGATTCAGATTGCCCCGTATAGCCCTCCGCGGCGTTTCGTAAGAATCCACCGGGGACGAGATGTTTGGTCCGTGATCTCCTCGGGTCCACATCAGATCGTACTGAAATATAGTGTGATTACATATATAAAGGTAAGTTAGGTATGTACATATTGTACATAGTAATATACGTGTTTAGCAATGAATGTATAAACTCATTTATCAGCCTGATTTTTCCGGGTTCATCAAGGTTTGACGAGATTGGTTCTACGTGACTGGTCGCTATCCCCGATCTCCCCGAGGTAGAACCACTCCTAACCATTCCCACAAAATGTTTCCTATGCTCGCCGGAATTTCCAGCAGCTGAGGAACTCCTGGACGAGGACGGCCGTTGACTAGGTATATGAGACAATGGCAACGTCGGAATACGGAGGCACCGGCAGGCGATGATAATCCTAGTCATTCCCAACAAGGGGCTATCTATCTTAGGCAGTAGACGGGACGTTGGCGAATAGTGCGTAGCTCAGCCTACTCTAGAGCCGTGTCCTTTGCATTTGATAGAGCTAGGGTCAGATTACTAGATCATCGTGAAAGAATGACCCCCAATGAACCTGCCGTAAGCGCTTAGGGACAGTTAGAGATGCTCCGCGAGCGGTGTAACGGCCGACCGAGCGGGACTGTAGTGGAACATGAATTAATGGGTTAGGTACTGGCGCAAATCCCTCTCATTGCTGCGAGGCTGTAACAAAATGTCTCATGGCGAAAACCGGGCAATAAATTAACAGCCTAGAGCCAATCATCGTAATACTCTCGGTCCTTTATGCGGATTCCCGGCCCTCTAAGCTATTATATTTAGCGACTTCGCAAGTGGGTTGTTGTCTTGGCAATTCGAGCATCTGATCGAAGATCGGGAGATAGCAATGAAAAGGGGAGCATCTTTGCTATCAGCAAAAGCACCAAGAAAATAGCCATGAATGAAAAGCTTGTGTGATATATCTACTTGTAAGTCATGGGCCCGAAAAGACCCCACGGTTAAAGCATACATCTACATGAAGAAGAGTGAGGAATAATAATAAAAAATTCAATGAGCCGAAGAGATGTTTAATATTGTTGATAATAGTATAGTAGCGATATTCGCGTCCGAATAGAGTGGGAAAGTAGCAAAAAGTAAAGTAAGCATTGTAAGGAAGCGACGCCTGCAGGATTCGAACCTGCGCTCCCGAAGGAAATGCCTTATCTATTGGTGCGAACAATAGCAGGGCATCGCGTTAACCACTCCGCCAAAGCGCCTGAGTGCTTAACTGATTGTTGAAATTTAGTCATCCAATTAGCATTATATGTCTAAGCTCTTTGTGGGGCTTGGGTAGATTCTGAGTCATGTGATCATTTTTCAATACTGTTCCAGCCACACATCTAATGCGCCACGTTGGTACAGTAGAAGTCGCTTTAAAGACTTCAACCTTGGCTGCAACTCCACAGAATCTACTCGATACAACTAATCTGCAATATCGCCAACGTCACGATAGCGCACACACAACAGGCACCTCCCTAAATCTCATCCGAGACCAATCTTCATCTACGACTAAACTTCTTCGCCATTCAAAGAAGCGGAACTGGAGCAATAGCCCATAGGCTAGGGATCCGAACATACGAGTCCCGGGCCAGACGTTGGGGACTCAGAGGTACGTGTTGAACCCGAAATACACACCGCACCACTCCCTTTTCGGGCGCACAGCAAAATTCATCATGTCGTATCCGCCCCCTCCAGGCTCGAGCAATTCGTCCCTCCCGCCGCGGCCCCCGCCCTCGCGCGTCTCGGGCTTCAAGCCGGCCTTCTCGCCGGCGCCTCCCGCCTCCCACACCCCGAGCCCCGGCGCCATCAGCGCGGCGCCCTACGCTGCGCCCCCTCCCGCCTACTCCAGCGCGCCCAGCTACTCGTCCGCCCCCTCTGGCGGCCGCGGCAATAGCCACTATGGCTCCTCGTACCAGCCCTACTCGCGGCCTCCCTCCGTAAATACAGGTGGCTACCACCAACCGCCAGCGAACCCATACCAGTACCCAGGCCACCAACAAGGTGGTTATCAGCAGAACTACTACAGCGGGCCCCAGAATGGCGGCGCTGCGACAGCTACGGCACCTCCAAGCTCGTACTCCGCCGCTCCCCAAATCCGAAATCCCTTCCCGGCCCCCGGTCAGTCGAAAAATGACGACTACGACCCCGAGATGGCAGCGCAGATCGCGCAGTGGCAGAGCGCATACGTGAAAGACCCCACCAAGGACGGCAGTGCGCCCGTAGCAGGGCCAGGACCAGGACCCGGCGGTCGAACGGGTGGGTACACGAACGCCGCGACGACAACGACAACGACAACAACGTACGCCGCAGAGCCGAGCACAAACGCAGCCGCGGTAGCAGCGGCAGCCAATACCTCCGCCAACCCCGAAAAGAAGAAGACCGTGGTACGCGCGGGCGGCGGCCAGAAATGGACCGACGACACGCTCCTCGAATGGGACCCCTCGCACCTGCGGCTCTTCGTGGGCAACCTCGCGGGCGAGACGACCGACGAGTCGCTCTACAAAGCCTTCTCGCAATGGCGCTCGCTCCAAAAAGCGCGCGTCATCCGCGACAAAGTCACCTCGAAATCCAAGGGCTACGGGTTCGTATCCTTCAGCGACCCGGACGAGTTCTTCCAAGCCGCCAAGGAGATGAACGGCAAGTACATCCAGAGCCACCCGGTGGTCGTGCGCAAGAGCACCACGGAGATCAAGCCCACGACTGTGAAAGATAACAACCGGTGGAATAAGCACGGGAAGAACAAGAATAAGAACCGTGACAGAGGAAATGGGTCGGGAGGCGGAGGGAAGCGTGAGGGTAGCTTCGAACCCCATTTAGGCCCTGTGAATGCCGGTGTACATAAACCAGGCCAGAAGACGAAGGGCGGGTTGAAGTTATTAGGTTAAGGGAGAAAGATGGGAGTATATACCTTGTTTACGCCTATACGGTCGTCGAGCTATTGTGTTCGGCTTCAATGCTTCAGTTTGGCGTCTAAGAGGCACACAGAATAGGAATAGGAATAGGGCTAATTCCTACATACTACGGGGCAAGCAATACTATAAACAATTAATAAAGCTTAACAGCATATAACATAGTCTCACTTGGGTGTATCGTACTCCGTGGCACGATCCTATATTTACATAGCCGTACGATTCTATCTTGGGAGATCTTGAGGAACGGTTGATTGACATCGAATCATCCATTTGTGTACAAATGAGCAGGACATCTTAAATATACACCATGTTTCTTCCGACGAGCAATTCCGCATATGTACAACCTCGTCTTTATATCCAAACACATCTAGATCTGGCGGTCTTCTCTATACCTGCAATTGGGGTATCTTGCTTACACATATCAATATTCTATAATTTTCTGCTTAGCTAGGGCCTTTTCACTCCAGCCCTGCCATTTTCCTCTCTTCCTGTCTTTGAAGTTCTGGGTACGGGTGTCCTATCCGGGTGGTTTGAAGTGCCTAGGTATCCCATTCGATTCGGGATCCAACTCTCTTGCGAATGCTCCCACTGTAGCTATGGCTTCCTGGGTTGAACATGGGATTTCATTTTCCCATTGGCATTTTTTTCTTTTATTCACAGCCTTGCCATCGGCACCGTTTCCGGGTATGTTACATCCCATATAAATGTACAAGTTGCGCCTTATATTCCCGTCTCTATTTTGTACTCAAATTTTCTACAAAAGGAATAGTTGCACACGATCAGTCTTCCCGAGATCTTTCTGTCCGATGGGGTTCTGTGGAGCTTGAAGGTCTCGGGTTCGGAATGAGATCTCCGTCGGTAGTGAGAAAGTTGTCTTCGACGCCGCTGGCATCGTCATGGGCCAGGAGCCCCGTTTCCTCCTCATCAGAATCGCTGCCACGGTCGACCTCACTTGACGAGCCCGATTGCGCCTGCTGGTAGCTCTTATTATGTACGTCCATCTGAGCCTCGTTGCGCATCTTCGTTAGCTTGATCCAGTTATATGCCCCAATAGCGCAGATCGTCACGACCAGACCGGATATGTTGATAGGAGTGAGCCTATCGTCAAAGACCAACGCTGCGGCGGAGATCGTGACAACCTCTTTAAATATACCGGCGATAGAAAGTGTAACAACACTACTTCGTTGTAGGAGAGCAAATTCGCTAGCCGTCATCAAAAAGGCGATTGTTCCCGGGAAGAGTAGGATTAAGGGTGCTCGGATAGCACCCCATTCACTAGCCAATACTTTTAGCCCTTCAACCAATTCGAAGACACCTTCCACCGGTATCGCGATGATTATCAGAGTAAGAAACATAATTGGCGCAAGGAAGAAAATGCTGGAGAACGGGTTAGAGGTGGCCGGATTTCGAAGCAGGAGAATCTGTGTGAGGCCCCAGCGGAAGCCGGAGAAGAAAGCGGCAGATATGACGAGAATGAATCCCCCCAGTTGGAACTCGACCTCCCCTGCTACCATCATTACGACGCCGGCCGTCATAGTCGCGATAATAGCTACAAGCTTCCACGTGGGAGTTTCGAGGCGGAAAAGAAAGGCGAAGAGGAGCACGAAAGCTAGAGAGGAGGATTTGCACATAGCTATAACCTAATTAGCATCATAAGCTTAAACACACCGCATATCATCACTTACTATAGAAGGTAAGAGTGATGAACTTTAGAGATGTGTTCCCCAGTCCAATGTCTAACCCAGTGGCAGCACCACAAGGCCCAATTCTCGTCAAATAGAACATTTTCGTCATAATCGGACGTTCAGGCTCAGCCTCATGTCTCGACCGGCCCATATCCGAATTGCGTTGTGCATTGCTGGGTCGTAAGGAAGGTACGAAGTATAATACTAGACTTGCTAGGGAAAATTGCACGAGCATGTGCATGGCGGTGGTGAAGAGAGGGAACGCAAAGTTGAGTTGACCCGAATCAAACATCCATTTGTTGTACTGCGAATGAAAACGTTAGCGAGACGTCATCTCGTCTTGGGATGAAGTTGGAGATCGGTAGTTGACTTACCAAAGAGATTGAAAGCGAAAACAGATACCATAGCCCAATCAGAGTAGCATTGACAGCCAGCCTCCTGAACACAGTCTGGTCCGCCTCTTTCCGTTCCTCATCCGTAATCTTGTCCCGCGCGATCCTCTGGTCCAATCTCGTATTTCGTCGACGTTTGGCACGCTTCCTCCGCTTATCCTTCTTCGTTAGACCCGTTTCCTCGTCATCATGGAGATCTTCTTCTGATAAACTGTCCTCTTCCTTGCTCTCAGATCTCGACGGGTCCCGGCTCTGATCTTCTTCCGAGATCTTAGCCTCCAGGTCCCCCGGCGCCTTGATGCTGGTGGCACGTGGTCGTGAAGATCGAGAGCTGGAGGGTTGAGGGATGTTCGGATTGGCGGTAAGCGTGCTCCTCCGGCGACGATGGCCCTGGGGGGCTATAGGATCCATCTCGATATCCTCAGGGCGGCGACCGGCGGCGTTGGAGGAAGAAGATGGATTGGCACCATCTGACGACCAGTCTACCTTAAAGCTGGTGGTGACAGAAGATGCTGACGAAGGGTTAGATGAGTCGGGATTGGTGGAATTGGGAGCCAGTACGCTCTTAACAGACAGTGTGGCAGGTTTCGGTGGAGAAGAGAGCGTGAGCGGGCGTCGCTGGGAAGGTTGAAGGGGTTGATGGTTGGACAGAGGAGAAGACATATTTTAATGAATGATAAGGCCGTGTATGGTAGGGACTTGAAGTAATACAAGCAGATAGCTGGAGACCAAAAGCAACAGGCATCATGTTCGAACCCCCTAGGGGACCCCTAGTCTCGACAGCTAACTCCAGTGACTCCACCTAGCGCCGGCCGACTTTTGGACGCATAAAACTTGTATGGGGACCCCCTTTTCCTGGTGATCAGGTCTTGGCGAGTTGAGTAGTACCTAAACGAAGTGGAAGCCGAATGTTGCGAATGTTGAGTAAAGTTGTTGTTGATGTAAAATAATAGGGCGATTGGGGAAGTCGCGGATGCCTTTAGATTTACTGTGTGCTACTACCTGTCTATTACGTCCATGGATGTGTGCTACAGGTGCAGTAGCGACTACCTAAATTTGGACCAGCAGGTTCCTCCCTACTATGTACTGTAGAGTTATGCAACAACAGCCTCAAATGTGAAAGTTTGGTTAACCGATTAATGCCATGCTACACCGTGTCTTTTACCTCTAATACTGTCCAGGCTTGTTTTATTGGATCATCCTTTCTATGTACAATTCAGTCGATTAC